TGGATTAAGGCGCTTGGATTAGCGACGGTTCCCGCTTCTACACAAACGCCGATGCGCACCGTTGCCGAATCAGGCGGCATTGGCCTCGACACATCAGTGGATCGGTAATCTTGCACCTCGTGAAACACGCGCCACTCGAATCGTGCACAGTATAGTCGCATAGCTGTCACTACACATCTTGCACCTCCTACATCCCCATGACGACAGTTTTTTCTTCGTTGGGCCCAGACATGGCATGCGATACACCTCGGTTGATCCAATTGAGTTGGTGCAGATCCGAATGTACTTTAGATTTGTGTTGCGGCTGATCCGATTTCCGTCCGCACGGATCCGATTTCGGATGTTGTGGGTCTGATGTCCGTTTTGTTTTTCACGCTGATCCGATTGGGCGCCTTTTGAGTCCCTCTTGAAGCCCTCTTGGGAGATCTTGGGAGCGTTGGATGCCTTCTTGGGGCCATCTTGCAGGAGTTCGATCAAAGAAGGGAGGGTCCCATGTTAGGCCCCCCTCCCAGGAGGCCAAAAAGGGGGCCCAAACCTGAGTAACATCAACGAGTTGTGCCTCCTCGCTGGGGCCAGCTCAGACGCTCCGATGGGTCGCGAACCCCCCTTCCAGGGGGAGGGGGGAGGGGAGAGGTGTAAACCCCTTCCCCCAAGGGGAAGAAGATGGGTTAGAAGAGGACACGCAAACGCTCTAAACCACTCACGCCCAGGGGGCTGTTGGGATCAGAACGGGGGACGGAGAGAAAGCGGATCCGCGGCACCCAGGCCCGCCGCTGTTAGGATTCTACAGTGGAGGGGGGGTGCCATTATGCACTACCACAGGCAGGTCGCGCGTTGTCTCAAGGAACCCATCAACTCCAGGTGTCGGAAACAATTAAGCAACACTCACACATAACATATAGTGTGAACTCCCCGCCTCCTCCCCCCGAATGCAATGTTGGGCTAGGATCTCCCGAGTTTGAGTGTCGGACCAGTGATGCGTATACGTGCCAACTTCGAATTGCGTGGGGAGGGGTAAGTGTTGCTTCATTTTTGCCCTCCACCGTCCCACCGCACGGGCCACACCTAAGATGAATCCATCTCTCCTCATATCCTGGCTGCGGGAAGCAACTTGTCCAGACGCCGTGCGTATGGTGGCGCCGACGCTCTCTCGCCAACCGCTGATCGCCGGTGGCGCCTCAAGAGGAAAATCTTTCGTCCTGCGTGCGTAGTTTACCCCAAGGTTGCACCACCTCGCTTGCGCCACAAGGTCATCACGCAGCACACACCACATAGCGTCCACCACACGGCTTGCAACACGCAGCTGTCATCGCATATAGGGTGCTTAACGTAGCCACGTAGCTTGCACCACATTATTCACACCACAGCTTTCAGCACATATATTGCATCACATAACTTGCACCATGTAGGCTGCACCGCATAGCCTACACATCTAGAGCGCCAGAATTCACCGTGTGCGGTCCACGCTGGCAACACGCTTATATCTAAATTGATGTCTCTCTCTCTCTCTCTTTATCTCTCTCTCTCTCTCTGTAGATATCTGTTTATGTATATACACGTCTATGTGCGCGTGTGTGTGTGTGTGTGTGTGTGTGTGTGTGTGTGTGCAGTGGAGCCTTCACGGCACACCAGGATCCAACAAATCAGCATCAATTGCATCCTGCAGCACCCAGGTGAAGGTAGTGGCGAGTTTCGTTCTCCCGGCTCTGGCAGGGAGGGAGATCGGGGGGGAGCAGAGGGGAGGAAGAGTGGGAACTTGGGCTGAATGGTGGCAAACGCGGGGAAAGAGGTCGTGGGCGTGGCAGAGAGGTGGAACGCAAGCGGGGCCTGCATATCGTGACCCAGGTCACGATTGGTTGCAAAGCTCAGCGCCTTGGAGCCACTGCGAGCAAATGGTATGGCCGTGTGTTCGCAGAGGACACATGCCACATACCAGAAAGGTATCTCCAGCTTCCGATTAGCAATACAGCGTTCGTTCCGTAGGATGTTGCGCAGTGTGTCTGGCAAATCATGCGGCCAAGGCACGCGTTTTGTGGTAGACGTGGGCAGGGTGTGCCTTGGCGTAGTTATTCCGAAGGCATCGAGGCAGGAGGAGGGGAGTGCATGGGAAGAGTCGTGGAAGATGAGGCGGGGTGCCAGGAATGGGGAGGCAGAGGAGGTGGGGAAACATGCGAGTCGGGTAGCCGAGTGCATGCGATTGCGGCTGCAGACTGGCATCTCACAATTGACACGAATAGGTGTTGACCTAATCGTACATGATGTATGGTACTTCCGACCATAATATTCGTGCGGATCGCACGCGTTTTCGCATGTTGGATCTGTTGTGCTCAGCGGCTGAAGACGACCCCACTTGTGGAGGGGGACCCGCGTCGGCCAAATTGTCCGCGCGGTCTTTGATTGATATGGCGATTCGAAGTTTGGTCATTTGTTTGGTCGGAGTCGCCAGTTGCGGGGTCATCGTCAGGAAGGCAACTTCGATTGTGCAAGGCGTGGAGACGGC